TGCCTCATGTACCTGATGACTTGCACTCGTCCTGACCTTGCGTACCCTCTTGGCCTTCTGGCTCGTTACGTGGCTCCTGGTCGGCACCGAAAGGTGCACATGGATGCTGCCAAGAGGGTACTACGCTACTTGTGCAGTACATCGGGCATGGGGCTCGTGCTTGGAGGACGGGGTGACGTTGTCCTCACAGGTCACTCTGGCGCCTCTTGGGTTGACGACCAGGCTACGCAGCGGTCGTCACAGGGTTACACCTTCAGCCTTGGTTCTGGTTCAATTTCCTGGTGTTCTACACGTTCGTCTTCAGTTCTCGGCTCCAGCTGTGAGGCAGAGATCTACGCCACAGCCATGGCTGCACAGGAGCTGCGCTGGCTCACCTACCTGCTAACCGACTTGGGAGAGCGGCCTCGTTCTCCTCCAGTTCTGTACGTCGACAACAAGGCCGCCATTGCCTTGTGTCAGGAGCACAGACTGGAGCACAGAACAAAGCACATCGCTCTCCGTTACTTTCTTGCTCGAGAGCTGCAGCAGCGTGGCCAGCTTCGTCTTACCTACGTGGCCACTCGGGCCAACACTGCTGATATATTCACCAAGGCGCTTCCACCTGGTGATCATCAACGTTTCTGCACTTTGTTAGGCCTTGTGCCCACACTTCCTCACTTGCTGTAGGCTTTGTTTGTACCATGATTTATATGTATTCCTGCATGCTTGTTCTTGTAGGTAGATATCACTGTACTGTTGTTGTTACATATATATTTCTGCATGTGAACTGGCCTTGTGGCCTTCTTGCTTGTGCTCAGACTGCGTGGTGACGTTGTGATCTGTTGCGATAATATCGAGACGTAAAGCACTTCAAGGAAATTCGTGTAGTACAGTAAAGTACCGATAGGCTGACGTCAGCAAAGCGCTACGCGACCTAGGATGACGTCAGCACGTAGCTATAGACTTCGCGAAAAGTTACGTACCGTTTCAAGATAAGAATAGCACAGTACATTAGGCGAACAGGTACTTTACTCTAGCTATATATTTTGTATGTTTGTCATTTTACAATATATCTGATTTCAGAGACATTTTTGATCCTGAAACATATCACTACATAGACTTTATTAAGTCTAGACAAAGCCTTCACAACTGGCTTAACTCATATAAGACTTCCGCTACGACTTTCACAACTGGAAGTTACCATCCTAAGTAGTACGATCCTACAAACTCACTTCAAATTCTAACATGATCCACCCTGAGCTTGCTTTGCACTTCCTGACTGGTCTTGTGACCCTCTGTTCTCCCCCACTCTGTCTATGGGGGTGTGTCAAACATATGTTCATATATGTTATAGTTTGGGTAGGCTTACTGGGTTACTCACTGTGGGGTACAACCCCTTAGGTTTCTTCCTTGTACCAACTCTCTCGATAGTCGACTTTCACTTTAGCCTATGATTCTAACAGGTTTGTGTCTGACTGCGTTCACAACCATGTGTGCATGGCAATGTGTGTCAGAAGTAGTAGGAGTACGGCCTAGGCTTAGTAGCCTAGGCCACAGTAGGACTAGTAACGAGGAGCCAAGTACGAGCTAGGAATGTGTGTAGGAACAGAATTGAGAAGGAATGATTGAACTAGCAAGCAGCAGGATACAAATAGCAAACCCTAAGGGGCTGTACTCACTATAGAGTACCCCACTGCAGGCTACACAAACAACATATTCTGACACACCCCCATAGCCAAAGTGGGGTGTAATCAGCACAATGAGCAGTCATAGCAATAGTTCATAATTATCAGCAAAGCTAGAGGCTATCACAGAGGGCAAGTGAGGAGGAGGAGGGACTATAAAAGGAGAGAAGATGGGAGGCGACGACTGAAGCTGCAGACACACGGGCAACAGAAGCGGCTGACACAGTGGCGGCTGACACAGTGGCTACCGAGACAGAGCGCCCCGGAATACTGGAGTAACTGGCTCTGCGGCTACGACGAGCGGCAGAAGCAACGGACCCACGGGCGACTGGTGCAGCAGGCTTTCAGTGGCTACCGAAACAGTGCGTCCCGGAATACAGGAGTAACAGGCTCTGCGGCTGCGACGAGCGGCAGGAGCAACGAACCCACGGGCAACAGGTGCAGCAGGCTCTCTGAGCTACCAGGACAGTGCGCACCGGACTACAGGTGCTGCGGACGACAAGACAGCAGCCTCCACTCAACCTCCCCCAACAGTCCCACACCCCTCTCACACACCCCCTGCTTCACCCCTAGCTCCACTCCCACATCACCCCCCTAGTGCCACTCCCCACGACTCCCACACCTCCACCCCCCTCAGCGGCAGCTGCAGCAGTGGGAGACGAAAAAGGAGGAGGGGAGAACCCACACCTCTCACCCCCATGCTCGCCACCCCACACCCCAGCCACCGCGGAACGCACGGTGGAATGGGAGTAATGGGCAGCACCGGGGGGGGGGGGACGGGGCGGACTTCTGCAGAGGCGGCTCGCGCGGGTCCTGGGGCGGCTGCTGCAGGTGCGGGCTGCTCCAGGGGCGGCTGCTGCAGGTGCGGGCTGCTCCAGGGGCGGCTGCTGCAGGTGCGGGCTGCTCCAGGGGCGGCTGCTGCAGTTGCGGGCTGCTCCAGGGGCGGCTGCTGCAGTGGCGGGCGGCTCCAGGGGCTGCTGCTGCAGTGGCGGGCGGCTCCAGGGGCGGCCGCCGCAGTTGAAAGGCAGAAGGGGGGGGGGGGGAAACGCACGGCCCCCAGGGCGCCCCGAGGGGCGACGAGAAGGGAGCCGCGCGGCCCCCCCCCGGGGCGCCGCGACGGGCACCAGGGAGGGCGCCGCGACGAGCCCCCAGAGCCGCCTCGACGGGCGACGGGGAGGGTGCCGCGCGGGCCCCCCGAATTCGCCTCGACGGGCGACGGAGAGGGCGCCGCGCGGGCCCCCCGAAGTCGCCTCGACGGGCGACGGGGAGGGCCGCGCACGGCCCCCGAAGTCGCCTCGACGGGCGACGGGAGGGGACCGCGCGCGGCCCCCGTGGTCGCCACCACGACGGGCGACTGGTGGGGAGGCCGCGCGGGCCCCCAAGGTCGCCTCGACGGGCGACAGGAGGGGAGGCCGCGCGGGTCCCCGAGGTCGCCTCGACGGGCGACGGGAGGGGAGGCCGCGCGGGTCCCCGAGAGCGCCTCGACGGGCGCTTCGACGGGAGGGGACCGCGGAGGCCCCCCCAAGGGCACCACGACGGGCGCCACGGAAGGGAAAACCGCCAGGCGCCCCGAGCGCGCGGCGGGCAGAAATTAGGGTTTCGCCGCCGCGCACCACGGGGCGCGCGGCGGACAGTACGGCAGCAGAAGCGGGTGGTGGGCCCATACAGAGGAAGGCGGCAGACATGCCGCCCTCTGATACCATGTCAGAAGCAGTAGGAGTACGGCCTAGGCTTAGTAGCCTAGGCCACAGTAGGACTAGTAACGAGGAGCCAAGTACGAGCTAGGAATGTGTGTAGGAACAGAATTGAGAAGGAATGATTGAACTAGCAAGCAGCAGGATACAAATAGCAAACCCTAAGGAGCTGTACTCACTATAGAGTACCCCACTGCAGGCTACACAAACAACATATTCAGACAATGTGTGCATGGCAATGTGTGTGCAGCACGGGGTTGAGGGAGGGAGTGACGTGGCTGGTGGAGGCAATGAGGAAGAGCCAACGAGCTGACCTCATCAAGCAAAGGGCAGATGCTGCTGCTGCCTTCTGATATGGGCTCCGTGGGTGAGGGCATCTGAGGTGATCTCGCATAGGGAAGGAGGAAGAGAGGAGAGGCAAGGCTTGGAAAGGAACACGAGGAGAAGGGTGTTTGGACTTAACTCGTGTAGCCATAAAACATACTTATTGGTGCTGCTTCTGTCAGCTGCATATGAAGGCAAGAATGTAGGTTCAGTGGTGCTATATATGTGAGTGTGGTTGTACGTGGTGAGAAAAAGGTGGCAGGACATATGCAGCTGTCAAGTCAAACGCTGCCTGGTCTCAACTGCCCAATATAGGTGTAGAACAACTTGTGATAAGTTTTTCCAGCTCGAAAAAATGAAGACACAGATGTTTCACCATGAGTACAAGACATGATTTGGATGCAGAGTTGTTTGTTTATATTTCAGGAATGTTTTATAGAGACATACTAGAGAGAGTACAGAATCTTGATCTCCCATCTCGAGTTCATCCCCCTCTGATCCCTTTAGTACAAGCCCATCTCAAGAATCCCTAGACACTGCCGTCCAAGTCGATTCAAAATTACTTCTTGGCAGTCACTTCCCGCCATTTCGAAGACGAGTAACCAGACCAGACCCGTTTTGGTTCGGCGGCGTCTGTCCATCCTGTCGTAAATGCGTTTCGCATACGTTTAGTGTTCTTCCGACTCCCAAACCGCCTCCGCCTTTGCACACGCAGACCTTCGCGAGCAGCGGGAGCAGGTATGGTCAAAATGGACCATCCACACCGTCAGCTAAAGGCTAGCCACCGGACTGAAGCGCTCTGTCAGGTCCCCGGAGGCCACGGCCATCTAGCTTTGGAAATAGCTTCGTTCCCCTTCGCGTTTCGTGAAACCACACCGACAGCGCACAAGTTAGTTCTGCCCGTGCCTGCCCGCTGCGTGAGTTCCCAATGCCTCGGCTCTCCTCCACCCCGCCTTGTCGCAGCAACCCTCTCGCTCTCCCCTCGTCGCCTGCGATCGCCTCTCCGAGTACAAACCTGCACTCCCTCTACTCACCCTCATTCGTCGCTCTAAGCTCCGAGTACAAACCCGCACTCTTTCTTCTTCGATTTCAACTCTCCAGCTAAGTTCGATCGCCAGTTTCGTAGTATCTCGTTTCTCGACCCAGCTCCCACAGCTGCAGCACTACTATCCTTGCCAGCTCAGAACATCCTAAGCTTTCAGCTCTCTCCGGTACTTCAAGCTTTGCACCCGAGGCTGCAACAGCAACCAGTGCTCCCTCAAGGTTCGTCTCTGCTAGTTCCACCGCTCGGTTTCGGCCTCACACTTCGCTCGATTGAATGGCCGACGCTTCCGCGCCTGCATACACCTCGTCGTCGTTCGCGGAAGTCCTGAGCATCTGGAGGAAGCGCGAAGAGGTTAAGCAGTCCCGCGCGCATCTTGAAGTGACGCCGAGCTCCGCGACTGCATGCGCGGTGCCTTGTGAGCCAAGTCTCGAGGCGACTTCTGAGGAAACTCCCGAGGCGATTTTTGAGTCGACGGAAAAGCAGTCTCAACTGCAAGTGCCGCTGAGCTTCTCCGCTGCATGCGCGGCGGCTGCAGAGGAGGCGGAGGAGGAGGAGGAGGAGGATCTGCGGACTGACTGCGACCAAACGAGCACTGGCAGCGTCGCCGTCGAGACGTCATGCAGCAACGGGACGAGTTCTGTCAGCTGTTCTGTCAGCAACGACACGATTTCAGGAAAGGACGTGAGGATGCATAGTGATGGCGGCGGGTGGTTGGTGGCGGAGTTTGCAGTGGGATCAGGTGGTGCCACTGCTGATGCACTCAACACACTGCACGCCGCCCTGCTGCTGCTGCTGCTGCTGCTGCTGCACTCATTGCTCTTGTCACTGCTGCTGCCGCTGCTGAGAGTGGTTCTGCCCTGGCGCATTCCCAATGTAGATAGCACAGGAGCGCGTGTGAAGGTGGGTGGTGTGGAGGGGAAGGCATGGAATGCACGTGGTGGTGCTCTAGCCCACCAGAAGCCCACTGCAAGCAGCATGAGGCAGCAGCAGGAGAAAGAGCACGCTGTGAGGTGCAGAGGGAGGAGGAGTGGTGCTAGCACCACCAAGGCAGCAGCAAGACCTCTTTGGAGGTCTTGAAGCTGCTGGCGCCACAGAAGCAATTACAGGGGAATATTTTTCTGTGGAAGTACAGAACAGAAAGTTCTTCAATAGCTTCTGGAGTATGTATTTCTTGATGGAAGGGGTTGGAAACCCGTAGAATTGGTTAAGGGACGTAGCCCTTTTCAGGATCGTAGTATCTTGGATTAAAGACTAAGTATTGGCAGCGGAAGACTTGTATGAATTAAAGCCAGTGTAGGAGGCTTTGTCTGAGCTTATTCTGCAAAGCTCATGTAATGATATGTTTCAGGATCTATGTCTCTGAAATCAGATATCAGGTATATAATAAAATGACAAGCATACAAAATATATAGCTAGATTAAAGTACCTGTTCGTATACTGTAGCCGAATGTATCTATTCGTCACTCTAGGGGTGTTTGACTTGTAGACACTAATGAAAGTGGCTGTTTGTTGACCTAGGCCTAGAGCTACTTTGACTAGTCAGCTGAATCCGAATGCTGACGTCATCAAGTTTTTGACCCACTATTGTACTGTTTCACTACTGTATAGTCTAACTGCGAATTTCAGAAATGTTAAGAGACCTATATCTCTCAACATTTCTTAGATAGCTGCGTGTAATCTTGTAATGTATACTAGGTGCATGATGTGCATTAACACATGCAAATTGGCTGTGAAATGTCTAGACAAATGTGCATTCTAACTTCCAGTATCACTGATCTTTCTGATACTCCGCACCTATGTTGATGCTCAGATTAGGACAAGGTGCCTGATTAGGACACACAAGCCTGAGAGACGACAACCCAGTGTGATAGTATTTATACGAGGGATTGAATTGTGGTATACTCAGTTTGACAGCATAGAAGCTGTAAACCGTATGTGAAAATGTTGACATGTTCCATTTCTCCAGTGAGGATTACATACGTGAAAGTATCATAAGTCACCCTAATCAGTGTGGTGTGGATGTTGTTGAAGGAAAACTTTACTTTGACGCCCGCACTCAATAACAAGCATTTTTGTTCACATTGTGCATGGTGCATGGCATGCGGTTTACGCTGGGAGTCGCTAGCACAACACACGCAAAATGCGCTACGAGGGCTGGCCAAGAGCGATGGTGGCTGAAATTCTCGGTGGGCCCAGGTTAGCTTGGGAGACGTCTTGTATATTCCGAAGAAAGATCGGCTTGCTGTGTCTAATAGCAGCGCCCGAGCTGGAAGCGAGAGGTTTTGGGGAGCACAGTTACTTGTCATATAGCTCGACAGCTTGTCCAGACCAGACACTTCAGTCTTCGCAATGGCGTTTCGAGTTGGTTCGTTAAGGATCTGCCAAGAACTTGAACGAGGCAGCTGTGCGAGGATCTTCAGAGGGTCAAGGATGTTGGCCACAGCTCATCGAGAGGGTAACGATATTTTCTTCTGTACATCCGAGGTGGTTAGCGCGTTTTATTTGTTTTCGTTCAGGAGTTGTCTGTATTGAGAGAGCTTTGTTCACATGTTCCGCAGATTCAACGCCCACGAAGTCTCGAGATGCGGCAAAGGTGGCGAAAGAAGCTGATCTGAGCACCCGTGAGTTGTTGATTTTCTTCCAAATGTCCTTTGCTGACCTGATTAATCTTTGCCTAGTGCGTACGATACTCAATGTGCTTGAAGGCCCCTTTCTCCTTCATTTAACATGCAGTTCTCGATAAGAACATGGGCACCCTCTTGATGACAGAGCTGTTTCGTGGCATGGGTATGACACTCAAATATTTCTTTGACAAAAAGGTCACGGTAAGTAATGTCATGATTCTTTGATGACAGCGTCTTTCTTCAGTCCCCCTGAAGCTTGTGTGTTTGCGGAATTCGTGCCAGATCAACTATCCTTTTGAAAGAAGCCCTCTAAGCGCTCGTTTCCGGGGTGAACATGCCTTGAGGCGTTACGAGACTGGAGAGGAGAGGTGCATTGCGTGCAAGCTGTGTGAAGCGGTGAGTCTGCTCAAGAAGGCCTTGGAGATAGCGTCTTGGATCTCATGTCTTATCACCAATGTTGGTACCTTTTTCCTAACAACTCTGTTCTGTTGTCTACCAGGTGTGCCCTGCACAAGCCATAACTATTGAAGCAGAACCTCGCGAGGATGGGAGCCGCCGTACGACTAGGTGTGCGGAGTTCAACAGTTCTGGTTATTGATGGATTCTGTTTTGGTGAGAGCTTATGCATCTGTCGTTTTTGTGGCAGGTATGATCTGGACATGACAAAGTGCATTTATTGTGGTTTGTGTCAAGAAGCGTGTCCTGTGGATGCCATTGTGGAAGGGCCAAATCTGGAATTTGCAACTGAAACACATGAGGTGAGACGTTGGTTGTGTGCTTGTGGTTTTCAGGCCTTCAAGTTTATAGAGACGCATTGTTTTATCTAAAAATAAACATAACTGCCTTGTTTCTCATGCAGGAATTGCTTTATGACAAGGAAAAGCTTCTTGAGAACGGGGATCGCTGGGAGTCACAGCTGGCATACAATATTCGAGCAGAGTCACTATACAGATAAGTGGCTATTGCACGAGAAAATTGTTCTAGCAACCATCTAGAAGTCGGTGCTAGGCTGCTAGCTGTTGACTCTACTCCTCATTCGCCCAGGGTGAAGAAAATGCACGTTTGAAAGGTTCCTGTACATATAATATGATTTGAGTTTGGGCATAGCTGCTGTGCAACTGCTTCAGTTCAACGTACCCTGTAGATGCTCTGGGGAAGCCGTCGTTTGAGTCTGTCAATAGCTTCATAAATGACCTGCTGCAATTCCATTCGTGGAACATCTGCCTTCCTCAGTAGTCCAGAGACTGCTCCAAGTGTTGCACAATTGTAAGTTCAGACGTGTTAGTAGAAAACAGAAAAGACCCAATCATGTCTTACTGGTGAACAGGTGTTTGGAAATGTTGTCGCTGGTGTCAAGCTCAGCAAGTTGGACATACACTCTGGAAAACAATTGTGTGACATGAGCTGTTGTCAGTAACACCAGAAGCATGTAGAAGGATTACACAAAAGAAACCTTGTCACTTGGGTACCTGATGTAGACTTCTTTTGAAGCTTCAGCCTCCTCAAAGATGCCCGAAATGCCTTCAAGAACTCCGGAATGCACAAATCTGAAATGGTGGACAATGTCAGGTGTAAAGAGTAAGCAGTTCATACATGCCATCCAGAACATACCTTGATCGTGTTGCTGATTTGATGACCTCAACAAGTTTTGACAGGGTGTCTCCATGCATTATGGCTGGCAGCTTTATCTGTCTCATTTCATTTATTAGTTTGTTCAACTAGCAGGCATACTCCGAAATGCGCCTCAGTTGAATCTTACAATCTCCATCATGGCCGATAGGACAACTTGAGACCGCATCTCAGATTCGGGAAGGGACGAACAAATGCCAGAATTCCAGAGCTCGTGAAGTAAATTGTCCTCATTGTCCTCAGGAGAGTAGAGCACAGCGTGAAGAACGGCTTGGACTGTCAAAGCGCAGTCGTGAACACAACCATAAATCAGTGCAAAGCAATCAATCGAAGAGAAAACTTACCAAGGACGTCCTTATTTTGGTAAGTTGCTGATATGAACATGCTTGAGATTGCTTTGGCCGCAAGATTTATGGTACCTCTCGTCCAAGGTGCGTACATGAGTGACTGAATACTGAGATCGTTTATCAAAGAGCTGCGCAAAGCGGAGAAGAACATAAACAAATGAAACACAACACTGCCTGAATGCCTTCATTCTATACTTGAACGATACCTCGGGCCAATGACGCCTTCGTCTTCAAGAACCCACAAAGTCTGAACTATTCTGATGAATGCTTCAGGCTCTGTGGCTGCGAACCTTGTCCGCTCGCCGAAAATCTGTCTTAGTCAATTGTTTTTACCCATACTAAGGCTGAGGCACACCAGAGAATCACAACATCCACTCACAAGTTGGACCAACGCCTCCGCAGCTAGACTTGAATCCTGCCTGGCCTCAAGAATCGCTCCCGAACTTGCGGAAGAACGAAGACACGCTTCAATGGCATGCAGCCGCGGGGAAGCCGCGAGCCCATGCCCACGGGATAAATTGTTGTGAGGAAGATACAAACCAGTCTCGTATTGATAGATGAACTGGTGCACAGAGGTCGCGAAATTGGTTTTAGTCAGAGCAGAAAGGACCGCGCGTGGATCAGGCATTGCAAATCTCAGGAGGGGTTCGCGACGCGAGTGGAGGAGAGGAGATGGACGCAACGAACACAGGCTTGTGCGTGAGATGGTTGAAGCTAGTACAGGTTGTACAAATGGTTCTGAACTGAATGCTCAAGTCAACCACCACTGGAGAGCTTGTGATACAAATGAACTTGTTGAAACGGGTAGCTCAGGTTCAGCATGTTTGTCCCTCGTTGGTAGTGTGCGGTTATTCTCGTTTCGTCACGGTGTAAAAAAATGAAGATTTAAGACCACTGTGCACAGTTTAGAATCGTTTTGCACCACGACATATGAACAGCAAATGAACGACCACTGCCTAGAATCAAAATCACTGTCAGGCTGGGGTGCTTGGTCTTTGAAATAAAAAATCACAATTCAAACGACAGACAAAACCGAAGCGGCTGAACCAGGCTTCACAGCAATTGAACGCGTTGTTGCCACTTGCCTGTCCCCGCTTGAGACAGGTTTCGTCAAATTTTAGAACTCGCGTCTACTTCACGAGATTCAAAACGAGGAACACACAAACTCGAAACACTGTGCTTAGGTATCCTCTTATTTTTTAAGCCTCGTCCGAGTAACAATCGCTCGGAGGAAGCCATGGCGTCGTCGCTAGGCGATGCGGATCTTTATGCGATCCTAGGGTTGAAGATTGAGGGCGATGCGGCTTTTCCTACCGGGGCTGAAATCAAGAAGGCTTATCGAAAGCGTGCGCTTGAATTGCACCCTGACAAGCGACCAGGCGACAAAGCAGCAGGTACGAGGAGAATGTAAGCATCTGACCGTTTCGCGCAGATTTGCCAACTTTCTTTCGACTCTTACTCTGCCTATTGAGAGTAGCCATGGCTAGCCCTAGCACTATCTTCACGGCAATTTTGTCATGCGTCTTTGGACGACTCTTATACTTCGCGCGTCTTCCCCTGTTACCACTCTTCCCTCCACTGTGCCTCGTCAAATCTCGCTCTGGCGATTCTCGTTCCGTATGAACCGGTGCTTGAGTCGCCACATACTTCGGATATCGAGGAATTACCAAGCGGCGCTAGGCCCTTCGCGAGGTGCTCTCCTCCCCCCTGATCCCCCCCTCACTCATCCATTTGCTGGATCCATCACTTCACTAGCGCACGCGCAGCAATTTCATTTGTCCCCTTCTCTCCCCTCCGCCTCCGCCCGTCCGATCCCATTGAAACACACCACCGATTTCCCCTCCTCCCAATTCCTGCTTTTTAACGACGGAGCTCGTTAGAGTCAACTGAAACACAGATTTTGCATTTTGCAAACTATATGGTTACCTGGTTACAAAATCACACGACGCACGAGCTACGGATTTTGATCTCTCTTCCTTTGCACCCTTCACCCCCTTCCACTCTGTTCCACTCCCCTCCACCCCCTTTTACCACCACCCCTGCAGCGGCGGAGTTTGACGAGCTGCAGAAGGCGTACGAGGTGCTGTCAGACGAGCAGGCACGCAAGGCATATGACGACCTGCGCGTGGTGCGGCGCAAGCGAGAGCGCAAGCTGGGGCAGCAGAGCAGCAAGCAGCACACCCCTGCCACTCCCTTCTCCCGATTCCATTCCCCTCTAACTCCCTTCCACTCCCTTTCACTCAATTTCACTGCCTTCGACAACCCCCACCCGCCCCCCCCTTCCCGCCCCCACTGCCCCGCCTTCCCCCTCCCCCGCGCCCCCCCCTGCAGCGGCGGAGTTTGACGAGCTGCAGAAGGCGTACGAGGTGCTGTCAGACGAGCAGGCGCGCAAGGCGTATGACGACCTGCGCCTGGTGCGGCGCGAGCGAGAGCGCAAGCTGGGGCAGCAGAGCAGCAAGCGCCAGCGCATGGTGGCAGAACTGGCGGAGAGAGAGAAGATGGCGGAGCGCCAGCGCAGCGAGGAGGAGAGGGCAAAGCAGCGGTTAAAGTCGGAGATTGAGAGAATCAGGAAAGAGGCGGCGGATGCAGCAGCTGCAGCCGCTGCTGCTGCGCGTGCTGCAAGGGGAGGAGGGAGTGGAGGGAACGGGGCGGAGAATGGGGAGGGTGGAGCAGGGGTGGTTGGAGAGGAGATGGAGCGGACGCTCAAGGTGTCTTGGTTGAGAGGAGGGGTGGAGGATGGGGAGGGGGGTGCGGGAGGAGGAGTCGCAGGAGCAGGGGTGGCAGGGGAGGAATACAGTGTGCAGCGGTTATGGAGGGTTTTTGAGGAGTTTGGAAAGGTGGAGGATGTGGTGGTGAGGGATGTGGCGAAGGGCAAGGGTAAGGGGGGTAAGGCGGGCAAGGCGAGGAAGAAGGGCAGTGCACTGGTGGTGATGGCGACGAAAGAAGCTGCGGTGAGTCAAATAGGGGGGGTTGGAAGGAAAGAATGGAGGACTGGAAGGACAGAGGGTGGGGGGGAAAGGGAGGGGAGGGGAGTTGGAAAGGAAACGCCAGGGGGCCGTGGGAGCAGGGGGGTGGAAGTGGGCAAAAAATATAAAGGAGTGATTGGGAGCGAGTGGGGGTGAGCGGGCCGAGTGGGAGCGAGGGGATGTGAGCATGGGAGTTTGTAAGAGTTTGTTGAGGGTGAGCAGGCTACTTTCCACACCATATCCTTTTTGTCCCGTTTTTTTATCTTCATGCCAGCTCACATGTGTCCATCCATCCCACGTTGGTTAAATATTTGTTCCCGCCTCCCCCTTACCCCTCCCCCGTTTTTTCTCTCTTTTGACCTGAACAGGTAGCCGCTACCTGTTCTGTGTGCGGCGATTCCACAAACCCCCTTATAGTCACGCGAGCTGTGCCTGCACCTGCAGCATCCACCATATGGGGCGCTGACACCCCCTTCAGCCCTTCTGTTGCTGCCGCAGCTGCAGCCACTTCAGCAGCAGCAGCAACGGCAGATGCAGCAGCTGCGAGAGCCAGGGCTGGGACTCATGGTGCTGCTGGTGGCTTTGGGATGGGGGGATCTGGTACTAGTGCTGGTGTTGGTGCTAATGCCGGTGCAGGCACGAGTGGAATGAGGAGAGATGGGGGGGCGAAGCCAGCAGGAGAGGCGAGTAGTAGAGCAGGTATGGGTGGCTTTCGAGCGAATGGAGGGTATAGTGGGGTGGCAGCAGGAGAAGGAGGAGGAGCAGGAGCAGTACCAGGAGGGGGGTTTGGAGTGGGAGGAGGTGGGGTGGAAGTTGGAGCTCGGCCGGCCATGGCAACAGCGGGTTCGTCGTATCGGGACTATGAGAGTGTGACTCTCATGCGCATGAGACAGGTGGGTACAGAGAGGATGAGTGCGCTTGCTTGTCAAGTACGGTATGCGTTTTGTTGTTAACCGTAAACCCTGGCATGGTCATTGATGTTTAACCATCTGTATCTTTTGGTGTCATGAACTCTTGCAGGCAGCTGAAAGAGCGCGCATAATTAAGGAGATGCAGGCTGCAGAAGAAGCAGGGGGCGGTGATGACGAGTGACTCTTCATTCATAGTGCGACCACAGGCAAACGGCTTGCCTCCTTTCTTTGTTGTTGGAGGTTCTCTCCACAGTGCGGTGTCTCCCTTGTTATGCTCAAAGTTCAGTGTGAATCCAAGGGAGCAATGTAATGCACCTTTCACCTGATCTATGGCAGGCGATCCTAGGTGGGAATGAACGTATGGTACTATTACATGGAGCAAAGAAACGCAGGTGCATGCAAATGTGTCCTACCCAGAACAATCCCCTGTTTCGAAACTTTGTTGGCGAGTTCACGTACTTGCCGTTGATGCTTGTTCATCTTTCGTAAAATCTTGACCGCCCCTTTTTTTTCCTCCAGTATGTGTACATTATTGGCTGCTCTGTATAGCCGCACTTGTGGATTGTTTTGTGGATTTATTGGCGATATCGATTTCTCTGCCCGAGCCACGCTTCAAGGTTGAAAGGAACGATCCCATTGGTTCTTCGTGCAAGGTAAAGGTAAAGGAGGGGGGAAAACCCCCTTTGGGTTACCCCCGGCTGTCGATCGTAATCCGCCTACCCACTTGTTTACACATCGAGGTTAGGCATATCCACTCCCGGATGAGCAGTGCGAAACCCCCTTCTGGGGGGCTGGCGGAACACACCGGCACTGGGGTTTGATCCCGCAACCTCATCCTTCGGAAGTCCCATCTAACTTGACTGGGCCACTTCAGGATGGTTCTTCGTGCAAGGACATTCCACTGTGTAGTTCACGAAACGCGATGCGCCGATGCAAGTGTGCCTTCGTCAAATCCAGCATCACACCTGCAGACAGACTCCTCCTCACCTCACCTCCACACGGTACGCAATTATTGGAGTTCATTCATCAATCGACGACGTCGTCTCTCATTTCGTGAGGCCGAAACTGGGACGTCTTGAGAAGATACACAGCAAGAATGGAGGTGTCGGTATACTGAACCCCGTCCATGGCAATAGAAGAGTTTGGTTTATTGGCAAAGTAAGGAGAAGAGACTTCTTCGTCATAGTTTTACGTGACGCATGACGTCTGCTGTTTTCAAGCCTGCTGAAGCCTAGTCGTCATTTTTACACAAAGAGCAGCTATACACACATTCTTAGAAGCAATCATCAGGACTTTCAATTGGCTTTCTCGTTCCATTTCAAAGCAAACAGCTTCGCTGACATCTCGTCAACCCACAACGACCTTTCCTGTGCTCTCTGGCAGCACCTGATCCGGACGGCAAGGCACATCAACCAGGTCATCAGCCTGCACATTTCTGAATTCTCCACGGTACAACGCCAGAAATTCCCAGCAACTGTGCTGAACTGAACTTGCTAAAATCGTCTCGTCGTCGCCACATTGTGGCGTAACGGCGCACCATGGAAGTATGGGGGATGTCTCCGCTAGCGCTGCTTCTTCTCGCCATCAACCTCCTCCCGTTCGTCGCCATCGTCGTCGCTTTCGCCCTCACGCTCTTCTGGGCATGCTGCGACGGCGAATCGTCGTGCGACGTCTACGCCGACCAATCGCGAAGCGGCGGCACGTTCGTCACCTGCCAAGCGGACCCAGAGGACCCTTCGCGCACTTCGTTCAAGTCATTTCTTCGCAATAATAAAAACCTCGCCGCATTCAGCGCCGTCGCTGCCGCTCGCAGCAGCAGCACCATCGGCGTCCCGTGCAACCCCGTGAATGTTTCTCCGCGTGCCCTTCTTACGGCGCCGCTCTGCCCGTCACCTGGAGACGAAGGAGTGGATGGATTCGGAGGCTGGTGCGGATTGTCGGGACGGAAAGACATTCCTGACCTTGTGCCTTCTCCTCCGGCTTACCGCTACTCGCCTCCCGTCTATGCACCGGGCGCGGCGTGGGACAGCGCTACAAAGGAAATGGGGGAGAAGAACGGTAATAAAGGCGGTATTCTCGCCAGCGGCTTCACTCAAGGGAAGCGGTAGCTGCAGAGCGTGGAATATTGATGAGCTCACAGCGACCAGCGCGTCTCGAGAGCATGCGGGAGCGCGCATCGTGAAGTATGATCCATTGGGAAACGAGTGACGCGAATGGAAGAGGAGCGAGGAATCGCGGTAGCGGATGTCACAAGAAGGGGGGAAGGTTCGCGGGAAAAGTTGAAACCATGTGATGAGGCGTGTGACAGAGGGGCTGTGAGGAACGGGAATGGGCTTTTGACAAAGCAACTGACGGGGCGTTTGACGGTAAGCGGAAGCTAGGGGTACTAGGGTTGTTGGTTTGTCGTGGATGCAGGCAAGAGAGCAGTAACTGCTCGAATAAAGTAAGCAATTCTGCTTTTGCGGTTCTGGGATTTTGTTGTTCCATGTTCTATGCTATGCTGTTCTTCTAGTCCGGACATCGAGATGCTGTACACAATCGATTTGCGTAGTACTTGTTGCAGTAAGTTAGTACTGTGCAGAGCGATGACAGCATTCCCAGGATGTACCACGTCCAAAGCTCTGAATTTCACCCACTTACAGCGTTAGCTGTTCATGAGAACCGCTCTTTGAGCACCTGACTGAACTCTATTATGTGCCACATATGTTATGCCCAGCAAAAACTCGGCTGTAGGCTGAAGCCTGAAGGTGCGGATTTGTGTTGTGGCATCGCAAGTCATGAAGGCCTTTTGAAACGTGTTGAAGATGCCCTCTGAAGTTGGCATCAAGTGGTTCGTAGGGTGAAACAATTATGAAACGAAAGGCCTTATGATTCAGGGGCTCGTGTCAGATGCAATGCTGGGCGTGAAATGCGTGGGCAGTGTGAATCACACGATGACAAGTCCGAGTGCAGCAAAACCTTCTATAACAAATCACTGCTAGCCATCTGCGTTTCATGCGAAGCACGTTCTGTACGCCACGAGAATGAACCGACCATGAATTCACGATGAAACACGGATCTCTCCGCCATTCGCGGTCGTTTTCAACCCACAGCAGCCAGAAAATTGTCGTCGTCGTCGTCGTCGTCAGCTAGTGTTACCTGCTTCTCGCCCAGCCTCGCTAGCGGTCCATCTTGTCTGAACCTGCAGAATCTATCAACCCTCTGGTGCGCCTACCTGCCTGCACCTGTCTTATGTTTCGTTTCCGTGTGCGTGTGAAGTACTCTCTACGGTCAATCAATTCGTCTGCAATCTCTCTCCTCCATTTTGAACCAAGGGCAGCACAACCGCGCTACTCTCCCGCACTCGTCGTTCGCGTCCGACTCAAGCGACAGTTGCGGACGGACAATACTCTCTGCTGCTGTTTCTCGCATTCCGCTTCAAAACATTGATACAGCAGCCTCGTTCGCTCCGACAAGGCGAAGCGTACTAGCGACCTCATCCCGTGGTGATCCGTTTCCCATAGCTAACGAATCTCGTGACGAGAATTCTTGTGTTCAGCCGCGAACTAAGCACGTCTGTGCTCGTTTAAACATACCCCAGCTCGTGCGCCCATATCATAGCGCCTACGCTTATTCACCCTTTCACGAATCTTGATTGGCGATTGACGAGCGCTCGTGCTCTTTGGACTTTTTTCTTATATTTTCGCGTAAGGCGCGGTTTCACGCGCGGGGCATTTCTTCACTCCTCACCTTGGGTTTACTTCTACATTGACGGATTCCGTTGATCTTTATTCGTTTTTTGTTCAGTTCTCCGCGTTCGATCCACTTCTCCGTTTCGTGCCCTTAACGCGGAACGTTCTTAATAGCATATGCATCTTATAGCAGACTCGGCGTAGCGCCGTGCATCTTACAGCGTTCAGACTACTAACTAGTATTGCAGACCCGTTCCGTACTGCGCGCCCGATCGCCTCCGGATCTTATTTCTTTGTCCGTCACTCGCGCCGCATATTCGCGAGATGAAGGTGACGGGGATTCTTTTGTTTAGGGTTCCGCGAATGGCGGGCAGCCAGCCGATCCTATTGGGCAGCGCCATGGACGTGTCGCACTTCTCCTTCTTCGAGCGATCCACGGCGAAAGAATTCATTCTTTTCGCCTGTCGCACGATTTCGCGCAGCGCGCCGTACAACCAGCGACAGACGGTCAAGGAACGAGGTACGAAAACCAACGCGGCAGAAGCGGGATGGTTGCAGTTGTGTCCGTTTAGCTTACCACACTCGTACCGGTGTCATCGCCAGCACGGGCGTTACCAGCCAGCCCCGTCCTTCCCGTTGTTCCTCCTCGCCTCTAGCAGAGTACGCGGTGTATGTGGTGAACCAGAGCGGGCGGATTGCTGGTGCTCGTCGTGGCGGAACAGGCGCAGCTCACTGCCGCAAATCCCTCTCGCTCAAACCACCCTCTCCTCTTCCATCCCCCCCCATCCCCCCCAATCCCCCCCGATCCCCCATCCCTAACCCCTGTGCAGAGTACGCGGTGTACGTGCTGCACCAGAGCGAGCGGATTGTTACTACTCGTGGTAACAGAGCTCCTGGACCCCACTGCTTGTCCTCCCATCCTCCAATCCTCCAGTCCTCCAATCCTCCGATCCTCCCATCCCCCAATCCCCCCATCCTTCCCCACCCACCCCCCTGTACAGAGTACGTGGTGTACGTGGTGAACCAGAGCGGGCTCGTGGTGCTCGTGGTGGCAGACGAGGCGCAGCAGCACAGCTTATTGCTAATAATCCCTCTCGCTTAGACCACCCTCTCCCCTCCCATTTCTCCTTCCCCACCCACCCCCCTGTACAGAGTACGTGGTGTACGTGGTGAACCAGAGCGGGCTCGTGGTGCTCGTGGTGGCAGACGAGGCGCAGCAGCACAGCTTATTGCTAATAATCCCTCTCGCTTAGACCACCCTCTCCCCTCCCATTTCTCCTTCCCCACCCACCCCCCTGTACAGAGTACGTGGTGTACGTGGTGAACCAGAGCGGGCTCGTGGTGCTCGTGGTGGCAGACGAGGCGTACCCACGAGGCAGCGGCTTCGCTGTGTGCAAGAAGGTGTGGGGGGAGGAAGGACGGGGAGGGGGAGAGGCAGGGGGAGGGAAAGGGGGAAAAAGAGGGGCTGGGAGAACTTGAGAAGGAGGTGCAGCGGGAGGAGAAAGGGGAGGATTGGTGGAGGGAGAGGGAGGGGAACGGGGAGGTAGGGGGAGAGTGCGAGTGTGTGGAAGAGGTGGGATGAAGCGGAGGGAAGCAAGGGGGATAGAGCGGTGGGGAGGGTGGGGAATGAGAAGGAGGAGATAATGAGAAGGAAGATGTGGGTGATTGCAAGAGAGCAAGCGAGGTTTGGTTGTGAGATATTAGGAGCAGATGTGTTGGTGCATGTCATGCCATGGCAGCTTCTCTTGTCATGCCAGTATCTCTTGTCATGTCAGTATTGCCTGTGCCTGCCTCTGCCCCTGCCTCTGCCTCTCCCCCTGCCTCTGCCTCTCCCCCCGCCTCTGCCTCTCCCCCTGCCTCTGCCTCTCCCTGTGCTTGCACATGCGTGTGTGTGCATGCGTGTGTGTGCATGCGTGTGTGTGCATGCGTGTGTGTGCATGCGTGTGTGTGCATGCGTGTGTGTGCATGCGTGTGTGTGCATGCGTGTGTGTGCATGCGTGTGTGTGCATGCGTGTGTGTGCATGCGTGTGTGTGCATGCGTGTGTGTGCATGCGTGTGTGTGCATGCGTGTGTGTGCATGCGTGTGTGTGCATGCGTGTGTGTGCATGCGCATATGCGTATGCGTGTGCGTGTGCTGTGTGTGCGTGACCGTCACATCAGGTGGCAGAGGAGTACATGGGAGCGGAGGGAGACGCCTGGATGAGCATACAGCAGGACAACAAGAAGTCTGTGCCGCTGCTTGATAAGCTGCTCGTGCAGGCCCAGGTGTGTGTGCGCATGTGCGTGTGTGTGGGTGTGCGTGCTTGTGTGCGTGTGTGTGGGGGGGAAGGGGGTGGGGGAGGAGGGAGGCAGGGCGCGCGCGCGCATGTGTGTGTGTGTGTGGGTGTGTGTGTGTGTGTGTGTGTGTGTGTGTGGGTGTGTGTGTGTGTGTGTTGTGTGCTCGTTCTTGCATGCATAGGGAGAGGGAGCGAGGCAGTGAGGGGGAGAAAGAGCGAGGCAGTGAGGGGGAGAAAGAGCGAGGCAGTGAGGGGGAGAAAGAGCGAGGCAGTGAGGGGGAGAAAGAGCGAGGCAGTGAGGGGGAGAAAGAGCGAGGCAGTGAGGGGGAGAAAGAGCGAGGCAGTGAGGGGGAAAGAAAGCGAGGCAGTGAGGGGGAGAAAGAGCGAGGCAGTGAGGGGGAAAGAAAGCGAGGCAGTGAGGGGGAGAGAGAGCGAGGCAGTGAGGGGGAGAGAGAGCGAGGCAGTGAGGGGGAGAGAGAGCGAGGCAGTGAGGGGGAGAGAGAGCGAGGCAGTGAGGGGGAGAGAGAGCGAGGCAGTGAGGGGGAGAGAGAGCGAGGCAGTGAGGGGGAGAGAGAGCGAGGCAGTGAGGGGGAGAGAGAGCGAGGCAGTGAGGGGGAGAGAGAGCGAGGCAGTGAGGGGGAGAGAGAGCGAGGCAGTGAGGGGGAGAGAGAGCGAGGCAGTGAGGGGGAGAGAGAGCGAGGCAGTGAGGGGGAGAGAGAGCGAGGCAGTGAGGGGGAAAGAAAGCGAGGCAGTGAGGGGGAGAGAGAGCGAGGCAGTGAGGGGGAGAGAGAGCGAGGCAGTGAGGGGGAGAAAGAGCGAGGCAGTGAGGGGGAGAGAGAGCGAGGCAGTGAGGGGGAAAGAAAGCGAGGCAGTGAGGGGGAGAGAGAGCGAGGCAGTGAGTGGGAGAGAGAGCGAGGCAGTGAGGGGGAGAGAGAGCGAGGCAGTGAGGGGGAGAAAGAGCGAGGCAGTGAGGGGGAGAGAGAGCGAGGCAGTGAGGGGGAAAGAAAGCGAGGCAGTGAGGGGGAGAGAGAGCGAGGCAGTGAGGGCGAGAGAGAGCGAGGTAGTGAGGGGGAAAGAAAGCGAGGCAGTGAGGGGGAGAGAGAGCGAGGCAGTGAGGGGGAGAGAGAGCGAGGCAGTGAGGGGGAGAGAGAGCGAGGCAGTGAGGGGGAGAAAGAGCGAGGCAGTGAGGGGGAGAGAGAGCGAGGCAGTGAGGGGGAAAGAGAGCGAGGCAGTGAGGGGGAGAGAGAGCGAGGCAGTGAGGGGGAGAGAGAGCGAGGCAGTGAGGGGGAGAGAGAGCGAGGCAGTGAGGGGGAGAGAGAGCGAGGCAGTGAGGGGGAGAGAGAGCGAGGCAGTGAGGGGGAGAGAGAGCGAGGCAGTGAGGGGGAGAGAGAGCGAGGCAGTGAGGGGGAGAGAGAGCGAGGCAGTGAGGGGGAGAGAGAGCGAGGCAGTGAGGGGGAGAGAGAGCGAGGCAGTGAGGGGGAGAGAGAGCTTTTTTTGTCTATCCCTATTCATAACTTCCATTCTTCGTCCCACTCCCTTCGTCTCCGCTTCTCTCTTAGCCTATCCCACTCCCTCTTCTTCCAACCCTGCTCCTCTCCATCCAATCACCACCACCCCACCTCAATCAACTTCCACCTCCATCCCCCACCTCATTGCCACCCATCTTACCTCCTCCCCCCCTCTCCCTTCTTCCACTCGTTCTCTCTCCTCTTTTTCCCCTCTCCCTCCCACTTACTGTGCCAGCTTAGCCCACCCCAGGACACAGCGAACGTGGATATGATCGCCAAGGTGCAGAGCGAGTGTGAATCTGGAGCCACTAAGGCGGCTTCTGATTCGACTCAAGAGTCCCCCCTTCCCCCTGCCCTCCCTGCTCGTCTCTTCCACACCAGGTCCCAGCGAATGTGGATAAGATTGCCAAGGTGCAGAACGAGAACGAGATTTGGGTGACCTTTGAGTCGACTCAGAATGTCTCTCCCCCTTGCCCAATGTGCGGTTCACCCCATCCCAGGACCCAGCGAACGTGGATAAGATCGCCAAGGTGCAGAGCGAAATCGACGAGACCAAGAGAGCTGTGGTGAGTGCAGCACAGTGGGGGGGAGGCATGGGGGTGAGGGTAGTGGGAGGAGGCTGGGGGTTGAGGCAGTGGGGGATGGAGACGCACTTGTGATCGCCAAGGTGCAGAGCGAAATCGACGAGACCAAGAGAGCTGTGGTGAGTGCAGCGCAGTGGGGGAGGTAGTGGTGAGGGGACGTACATGTGCCGAGCAATGTTGAGCGAGCAGGGGGAGGTGCAAGGGGGAAGAGGTGAGGGAAGGTGTGTGGGGAGGGTAGGTTGGGGAACAGGCGCCTAGAAGGTGCTGAGTAGGCTAGATGTGGTGTTTGTAGCGAGCTGACTGTTAACAGGCACTGACCTCGCTGTGGTTGCAAGTGCCGCTTCTCATTCCTGTGTCACAACCATCGTATCAAACGTCCCGCTTGTCCATCCAATGCTCTTCTGTATGGCTGTATTTGTATGCATGTGTGCATATTAACAGGAAACAACGATTCACAAGATGCTCAACAGAGGGGAGACACTGGAGAATCTTGCATCCATGAGCAACGACCTTAGTGTGCAATCCAAGGTACGATCACTGCACCACTGCTCCATTGCACTCTGCACATTCAAGAACCTCACAGCTCTACCTGTCTCTATCCATGCCTGTCTCTATTTTCTTCTTAGAAATGACAGCTTCCCTAAAAGCAGCATAGACTGTCCCTGAAGCGCTGTCCTCACGTGTCTTTCCCTTGTCACGTGCGTGCGAGTTGCTACCATTCATGCGGACTGACGGCCTCTCACCGCTATCTGTGCTTTCCGCCCTCTCTCACCTCTGTTCCTTCTCTTTCCTCCTCTCGCTCCCCTATCCCCCTCTCTATGCGCCAAGTGCCCTCTCTCTCCTCTCTTTCTGCCCGCTTTCCCTCTATCCCTCCGCTCGTCTCTCTCTTCACCGTTTCCTTTCTCCTGTCTCTCCGCTTCCCCTCTCATTTCCTCTCCGTTCCTCTCCTTATACCTCGCCTTCATTATTTTTATACCCCTCTTATCCCTCACCGCTCCCCACACTTCATCTTGTGTGTGTGCCACAGATGTTTGTGAAGCAAGCCAAGGACATTAACAAGTGCTGCACCATCTTGTAATGCAAACTGCTCAGAAGCTCTCAGCACCTATCTGCACTGCACTGCACCGAACCAGACTACGCTGAATAGCACTGGAGTTTGGGGTGCATGGGACCCTGGGGTTAATCAACCCTTAAGTATATGTATAAGCTTCTAGTCAGTTACGATACCCCTATACCAATATCATATTGTGATTTATGACATTTTGTTTTATGTCCTTCGTTTCAACTCAACAAAAGTTAGCCAAGTCAGTAACTAGTTTGGTGTAGCAACAATGCACTGTAATAATTGTCATTTCACGTGTTGTAGTGCTGCTCAATTACATGGCTTTGATGGGATGATTGAGCAGATTTGGTGTAATTTGCAAAATAACGACGACTTTTATTGTACAAACCCGATACCATCGCAAGCCATACTCTTAAATGCATGATTGATAACTGGGTATATGCTTGGCTTGCCATACTCTGTCAGATGTTATAGTCTTAGTGATGTGTGTCATATGGGGTACAACAGTTAGGGTTACTAGGTTTATGTACCCCAACCAACCTTAGTGAAATCATCATTCCGTTCTTGACATGGTATCACCTAGGTTAGGATCCTGTGGGATCCCGTTCATCTCGTTCACGTCTGTAGCGCCCGAGCCTGTTTCGTACCCTAGTGCCCGTTACGCCCGTTTTGTCCCCTAGCGCCTATCGCGCTCGTCTCTCTTGTGCCCTAGCGCTCGCTGCGCCTGCCTCGCGTCGCCCCTGCTGTCCCATCCCGTCGCATTGCCCCTGCTGTCCCGTCGCCCCTGCTGTCCCGTCGCGTTGCGTCCGTCCCGTCCCGTCGCATGCGCCGCACCTGTCCGTCCCGCCGTGTCGCGCCGTCCATCCCGTCCCATCCTGCCGCGTCGCGCTGTCCGTCCGCGTCGCGTTGCCCATCCCGTCCCGCCGCGTCGCGCCTGCCGGCCTTGTCAGGTCGCGTCGCGCTGCCCGTCCCGTCACGTCGCGCTACCCCTTCCCGTAGCACCGCGCCCTTCTAGTCCCACCGTGTCGCGCCCTACCCTGTGTCCCATAGCGCCCTAGGCCTCCAACTCTGCCAGTCACGCCCTACTAAGCCGCTCTAAGTGTTTAGGGTTTCGGCAGCAGCACTTCCCACATCTTCGCTTCCGCTATGGTGACCCCTAGGGTTCTGCGCTTTGACGCCGAGGGTAGGCCGCTCGAGTTCTCGGTCTGGCTCCTGCGTACGCGTCGCCTTTTAGAGAGTCAGGTTCAGGCAGATGAGTCTCTGTGGGCGCACGCTTCCGGCGACCTTCCTAAGCCCGACGACCCTGCACCCTTAGGCGCTGACCCAATCAGTGCAGACAGAGACCGTTATGCCCGCCAGCGTGCTGACCTGACAGCGTGGAAGTCGTGTGACGCTGCGGCCTGCATCGCCCTTAGCAGCCTCCTCCCTGAGTCTGAGGAGGCCCACTTCACTCAGGTTCGCACGGCTAGTGATTTCCTGACTGCGATCAAGGCCCGCTACGCTACTCCCACCACTGTCTCTCTTGGTCGCCTGTTCCTCCCGTTCCTGTTTCCTGCCTCGCCTCGTTTGAGCGCTCTGCTGACTTGATCCCTCACCTGCGCTCGCTCGATTCTAGCTACTGCGCTGCCTGCACTGACGCACGGCTTGCACTGCTCCCTCCCCCTATGGCAATTACTGTCTATTTATCGCCACTAGCCTCCATGACCGCCTTGCCTCAGTTCGTGACGTGCTTCTTCTGAAGCACCCTAGCGAGCTCACTATCGAGGTCCTTGAGTATGCCCTCAAGGACGTCGAGAGCAACCTCCGATCGGTAGCCTCCACCTTTGGTGCTGTGCCCCCTCCACTGTTTCACGGGTGCACTGTCCCTCAGCTGCCCACCTTTACTGCCTCCCTCGCCACTGCCGCTACTGACGTGACCGCAGTTGTTGTTACGAATTCTTCTCGGACTGGGGGTAGGAGTGGCAGGAGGGACGGTCAGGGTGCGGGCGGAGGCGGCAGAGGCGGCGGAGGTGGCGTGGCGAGCGGTGGTGGCGGGAGTACAGAGGTTGGAGGAGCCACTCGTGCAGCGGCTAGTGACTCCCCTGCTGCAGCTGGTGGCGGTGACGCTCGGGTTCGTCAGGCACCTGCTGGTCCACCAGCTGCAGGTGCTGGAGTGGCGGATTGGTACCTGACTCAGCGGCAGCAGCAGCAGCAGCCACTCCTCTTGCAGCAGCCACAACAGACTCCGGGGCAGGGGTCAGGACCACGTCAGCCGTCGCGTGGTGCCGTCCACCCTCCCTGCACCTATCTCGTTCAGACAGGTGCTCGCCGAGGCCTCCCCTGTGGCCGCACCCACCCACCGGGTCAGTGCTTTGCTCAGATCACTAACACACTTTGTGCGGCCTACGGCGTTGGCGGCCCTGCCCCAGAATGGCTTCCCCTTGTTCAGACGTACGGCCCCGCTCTGTGGGGCATGTCGGCTTCTCATTTGCTTGATCTCTTAGGAACTCCTCATGCTATGTATGTTGTTGTTGACTCTAGTGCTTCTGACTCTGTTTACTCAAGTGTTGTTAGCTTAGGTGCTAGTGTTGGTGAGGTGTCTGTTGCTAGTGTATGTACTTGTGTAGACACTAGTCTAGGAGCTGCTCCGGAGGACACTTCGCTGTCTTTCACTCTGGACTGCGGAGCTTCGCACTGTTTCTTCCGCGACCACACGACGCTTACTCCGCTTCCTGCGCCGGTCTCTGTAGCACTGGCTGATCCCACTTCGAGACCAGTCACTGCTCGCTACACTACTACGCTCCCGTGCCCAGCAGATCCCTCGGGTTTCCTGATGGGCTTCCACGTCCCCTCGTTCTCCAGGAACTTAGTGGGTGTGAGGCCGCTCGTGAGTAGTCACGTGGGTATGTGGATTGAGCCTTCTGTCGAGACTGCAGTTTGTGTCGACGGGGACACGTACGCGCCTCTGGCCACCTTTACCACCGAGCCGGGCTCTGGTCTCTACACACTTCACATTGGCCCCCGAGGGCAGCAGCAGCAGCAGCAGCAGCGGCAGCAGCAGCAGCGGCAGCGGCAGCGGCAGCGGCAGCGGCAGCAGTAGCAGCAGTAGCGGCAGCGGCGGCAGTAGCACCAGCAGCAGAAGCAGCAGCAGCACCAGCAGCAGCACCAGCAGCAACAGCAGCAGCAGCAGCAGCCGCAGCAGCAGCTGCTGCCCCCGACCCCTGTTACTGCCCCCCGCCAGGTTCTCGCGTCTCACCAGGTTGCCGCGTCTCACCAGGTTGCCGCGTCTCACCAGGTAGATGTGTCTGGTCAGGATCCCGTGTCTGGTCCAGTTGCTGCGTCTTGCTCCTGCCGGGCGCTTGGTCACCCCACCGTTCTGTGGCACCACCGCATGGGGCACCCGTCCATTCCTCGCCTGCGCACTATGTCTAGTCAACATCTTGTCTTAGGCCTCCCGCGTGTCTTGCCGTCGCTGCCGCCTTCGCTTGCACCACCTTACGGTCCCTGCGTCGAGGGTCGGCTGAGCGCCACCCCTGGGTTTTTCAGGAGGTTCTAGTCTTCGGGGAGCTGGTGTTGGTCGAGCTGTCCCTAGGGGTGCTCGGTCTGGGGGTGCGGGTGCGCCCTTTACGGGACCTGGAGAGTCTGGGACTGGCCGCGTTGCTGCTGGTGGTGCTGGCTCTGGGGGCAGTGCGACCGGTGTGCTGGAGAGCGGTCCTGGGGCTACCACCGCCCCGGACACTACTCCTCCCCCCCACCCCTACCCGACCCGGCACCAGGTCCGTCTTTGCCTTGCACGTGAGGAGCAGCTGGAGTTGGAGCGGGAGGGGCGAGAGTTGGAGCGGCAGCAGCTGGAGCTACAGCAGCAGGCGCAGCGGCCGCGGCTGCAGGAGCACTTGGAGCAGCAGCAGCCGCAGTTGGAGGAGCCGCAGCCGCCGCAGCAGGAGCAGAAGGAGCAGCAGCAGCAACCGCCGCAGCAGGAGCAGCAGTAGCAGTAGCAGCCGCCACCTCCGCCTCCTGTCTCTGGCCTTCGGACCCTCGGTCTCCCCTCTCCCTCTCCTCCCCCCTCTCCCTCTCCTCCCCCCTCTCCCTCTCCTCCTGTCTACGGTCCCACGTTTCCTCCTCATGACCCCACCCCAGCTGTTTTCCCCCATTCTCAGCCTCCGTTGTCCCCTCCTCTTTCTCACGCTTGAACTTCACGCTCTCCTCGTGCTCGTCCCTCGTCCCCTGTCCCTGTCACTGACCTTCGTACTGTCCTGTTTCGTCCTATTCCGCCTCGTTCGTCTCCGTCTGTGCTTCCTTCTCCTCTTGAGTCAGCCCTCACTGCTTCCCTCTCTACTCCTGTCACTGACTTCTACCACACGTACCGACCTGTTCTCTCTCGTGTTCTTGCCTCTCTTGTTACGGACCCTCGTGTCTCTCTGTCCTCTGTCTCCGCTCTTACTGCCGCAGTCACTGAGTTTGCCTCTACTCGCCGCCTTGACTATGCCACTAGTCTTGTGGCTGCTCCTCCTATTTGTCCTCTGGCCATCGGGGGTGAGTCTGCCCCTGGCTGTGACGCCCTAGAGGACAGGCAGTTTGAGCTAGAGTTCTTGGCAGCCGCTTCCCCTCATCTCTGTGCCATGCTGCTCGCCCCTGAGGGAGACCCCGACGCCCTTGACATACCTACTCCTCACACTTACGCTGAGGCAGTGTCAGGGCCTTGGGCCTCTAAGTGGAGACCTGCCATGGACTCATACATGGCCTCCTACAGATCCACAAGCACCTACGTCGACGAGGTTCCCCCCCCTGGGGCGAACGTAGTCGATGGCATGTGGATCTTCAAGGTGAAGCGGCCACCGGGATCTCCTCCGGTCTTCAAGGCGCGCTATATGGCTAGAGGTTTCAGTCAGCACGAGGGAGTTGACTTCTTTCAGACCTTCGCGCCTACCCTGAAGATGACCACTCTTCGGGTGTTACTGCACGTAGTAGCATAGAGAGACTACGAGCTACACTCTCTCGACTTCTCTACTGCCTTCCTTCAGGGTAGCCTACACGAG